CATCTACCACTTGGAGGATTCGTTTCTGAAAAATTTCACTTGACACTTTCAAACCGAATGGCAGTCTTTTCCAGCGATATCGCCCGAGTGGCGTACCAAAAGTGGTCAAGTAGCTCGTTACATCGTCCAGCTCTAAATTCCAAAACGAAAAGGCTAAATCAACCTTCGTAAAGTATCTTGCATTAGCTAACTCCGGTATTATGTCGTCAAAAATGGGCAGCGTAAAGTGCTCCCGTTTCAACGCCTTGTTCAGTGGTTTTGGGTCGACAAATATTCTTAATTCCCCAGACGTTTTCGTCACCACCACTATCTAACTTACCCAGTCCGTTGGTTCATCGATTTTCTCCAGAACGCCTTTTGCGTTAAGATTATTCACTTCACGCGAAAATTCATCTCGAACAGCGAGTGGGATCCGCCGCGTTGGTAACACAACGGGTTCGGCTGCGTCGTTTTTATGAAGTGTCACAGTTCTTGACAACTTTCCCAGTTTTCCATCATTAACAGAGGCGTATGTTTTCAGGTAGTATTCAGTGTCTTTACAAATGTGATGAACAAATGAATCGTAGTTAAACGATACCAGACCAAGTCGCTCGATAGATTCCTATCCCAGGATTGGAACATAACCCGGCTCCACGNNNCACGACGACAAAACTCACGACAGTAGAGACTCCGCTTCTAGGATTCTTCAGTGTAATAGTGATTTGTCCTTTCGGCTCCACGTTTGCACCGTTCCACATAACCAATCTCGTTTGGGTAGGGTCCACTTTGGTATCGGGTATGCAATTTCTCGGTATTATGTTCACGGACGAGCCAGAATCTAGTTGGAAGGTAACTTCTTCTCCATTCGACAACATTTTTGCAAATATGCCTTTTCGTTTGGCTGGGAGTTGTACACCATTGACACGATCAGATGCTGGGACGTGAGGTTCTGAGGTTGACTCCTTCTTNGCACGTTTTTCCCCAAGCAGGGCAGTTGCTCCTTCCCCTCATATGTATGCGGCCACAGAAACAGCAAGCAGTCGTTGGATGTGATCGATTTTCAGCGGTAATTTTACACAATCCATAATCCTCTGTTGTAGTAAGCGTCTCCATATGCTTCTCAGCTGCTTATTCACTCCGACATATATCGATGCACTGTTTCAAAGTCAGCTTTGGAATTTTTAGGAGGCGCTTCACCATGGCAGAATCCCGTAGTCCAACGACAAATCGGTCCCTTATTAGACTCTCTTCCAGGCATGCACAGAAATTGCATGAACCAGCCAGGGATTTCAGCTCTAGGACGAATGTGTTGAGGGGCTCACCATGTTGCTGTTTCCTCTGGTTGAAAATGTATCGTTCGAAAGTCTCGTTGGATTCGCCAAGACAGTAGCGCTCCATCTTCGCCATCACAACCTGCCAATCTGTACGGTCCTCATCCGGACTGTACGTGAATCCGTTTATTACACGCAGAGCATCCGGACCAATCGTGTGACGGAACAACGCCAATTGCACAGAACTGGATTCATGGTCCATCTCTGTCAGTGTACGAAAATCTCCATACTGGTTCGCCAAAGATTCCAGTTATCAGCCAATCGCCCTGTCTCCTCCGTATTCAGGTACGCCGGCGGTTAGACCTTCAGTCGACTATTCATTCTCTCTGCCATTCGCATAATTTTCCGCTGCCACCATGTCAAAAGTCGTTTCTTCAGGAAATGCTCTCATTAATTTTCTCTAGTCCACTGGACACAAATCACGTTTGGGAAGCGAATCATTGGCGTTTATATATAAACCTGAACCAATCAGATTGTTGGGGCCGGCAAATTTAAAGTTTTGTACCGACCAATCATAAAAATGCAACTGATGCAACAAAACAAAACGACCAATTCAAACAACATTACAACACAAATAAGACGAGAAATAAAGTCAACAGTCACTCTATTTCTCACCTGAACCTTCGTGGAAACGTTGCCCTCACCTCCCCACAGGAAATCTGTGAAGCCCTAGATTTCGTCTTTACCTCCTCGTTCNGTTCTCACAACCACTAGCACCCCTACGTCCACCACTGAATCTCTAAATGTCATCCGCTTTACCACCCAAGATATAGCTCGCATTTTCAATGTATCTAAGCCCTCATCCCGACCAGGACCGGATGGACTACCCCCAAGTAGTTTACGCTTTGGGGGACCTGATATACCCGTAATCCTCTTAAAACTATTTAACCTGTCCCTGATTGGTGGCATTGTACCATCTCAATGGAAACAATCTACCATCGTCCGACTTCACAAGTCGGGTCCCACCCATGATCCGTCAAACTACCACCCAATAAACCATCTTCCTATCCTTTCCAGGATAATGGAAAAGTTGTTACAAGGCAACTTCCTGACCATCTGCTCAATGAGAACCTCCTTAGCAAGAGCCAACATGGCTTTCTTAAATTTCGCTCTTGCCAAATGTGTCAATTTGACTTTTTAAACCTCCTGACTAAATCAGTGGACTCAAATAAAGTTTACATACTCGTATACCTGGATATGACCAAAGCTTTTGACAGAGTTTCGCACCCACGGCTTAGTACCAAAGCCAAAACTTATGGGATGGGCAACCCACTCCTCTCATGGCTTTCTTCTTACCTTTCAGACCGCTCTCAGGTGGTTTCGATAGAAAATGCCTCATCCAACCCGAAGCCTGTTACCAGTGGTGTGATCCAAGGTAGCGTACTAGGACCCTTATTGTTCCTTATGTATATAAATGACATTTCAAAATCTATTTATCATGGAACCCTCTTTCTTTTCGCCGATGACATTAAAGTTCTCTTAACTTCGCTGAGCATTGAGTATTGCAAGTAGCCAAGGCTAGACGCTAAATAAACCTCTTCTTTAGGACTTTCAGTCTCCGTGATAGCATAATCACTTTGTACAAATCCCACACTAGGCCTTTATTAGAGTTTTCGTCAACAGCGTACTCCAGTATGAGAAACCTACATAGAGTAGCCATAGAGAACGTCCAGCGAAGATTTACAAAACAAATTCTTGGCTGAACCTCAGACTTGAACTACATGGAGCGATGCCTCCTCTTAAAACTTGACCTCCTATGGTTACGCCGTGCAAAGCTCAACCTTACCCTTCTGCACGGATTGCTGTATAAGCGGGCCCAGTCGGTAAATGAAATCCGATTTCAGCTCGATCCACCATACCCCATTCATAATCACGTAAATGTCCTCCCCTTACATAATGATAGAACGAACACCCGACGGACCTTCTTCCTAGTTTGTTATTCACGCCTCTGGAATAAACTTCAAGTCGAAATAAGACAAATAACGTCTGCCCCAACGTTTAAAAATCATATCCGTCGATTTCTCACTCTATCTAAAATGGCCCAACTGCACAATATTCACGACGAATCATCAACTTGTGAAAACGGGCTTGATTATTAACCGTCTGCGAAATATCGCAGTTTACAAAATATCCTATGACGAACTTGCAACGTAGTACGAATACTTAAATCTGAATTGATGCACTGCTGACCAAGGTTTACAGTTGACTGAGAAGATTCAACCTGCTAAAACATACTAAACCCAAGTCTTATCAGTACACGGATCCAGCCTCAAAGCTTGCTCTGTGGAGCATACTCTGTCTAGGTACAGGCTTGTCAAAGCACTGTGACCCATTATTGCTTGATTTATCTCCCACTGATCTCTAATCTTTTCGACTCAATTGGTTTAACCCTGTGGCACATGCTCTCCAGGTAGCAGTGTCCACTTAGACAATTTCATATCAGTACACGGATCTAGCCCCAAAGCTAGATCTGTGGAACCAATTCTCTGTAGGTGCATGCTTTTCACCT